CCGGCGTGGTTCCCCCTTGTCAGTGATGCAGGACAGAAGGCCTGACAATGACAACTGTGTAGTCGTTCGGATGTGAGGAACAACTGAGATCCCGTGCACACACTGGCGTGCACGTAAAAGATCCCTTGACAATTGGAATTCGATATAAGAGTAGGCCGTAGTGCCACTGACCGGGCAACACTGTATGGTCTATGCCCGCCTTCATTAGCCCAGTCGGAGCAGAACAGTAGGTCGTTAAACCCCATTTCATTTCATTTCTACCGTGTTCCTAGTAATTATGGCGGCTAACATTGCTTGTAACTAATATTATAAAGTACCAAGCCAAGTGGAAAACTCAAAACTCAAGTTCTTTCAATCAATAAAAAGCAAACGTCTTCATTGGTTACTATGTAGCCTACCATTGGTTACTACCATTGGTTACTATGTATCCTACCATTGGTTACTATGTAGCCTACCATTGGTTACTACCATTGGTTACTATGTAGCCTACCATTGGTTGTGGAAACTTCGCGAATGGATGGACAGTGACAACATAATATTTCTAAAGCAGAGAAGAATTTTACAGAAAGATTTATATTGGTCAATGATACTGTAGATCATGTGATGACCGGATACAGACGCTTCCGACTGATCAATTTCTGTATCCGTATCGACGTCTTAATCATTTCAATAGACAATGACTAGGATATGGTTTATGGAATTGTTTACCAACCGGTAGAAAGAGTTGTGAAATATATATATATATATATATATATCCAACACACAACACAATCGATCCTAATTAATGGTCGGTCCAGCAGACAATCTCGCTAAAATCTAAAAATGACACATTTGAAATATCACATAATGGAAGGTGATACCCAGTTTTTAATGGTAGGTTGACACGCGCACTACACCTGCCATTGTTGTTGTCATGTTGAATTAAAGGCCCGTATTATAGAAAGGAAACAGGTTGGACGAGATGCAAGCGTTAAGTTCTGGATGTGGGTAAATATCATAGTCCTGATATTGACCCCTGGTAGGGTTTCATCTTTCCCATATTCCTCATATTGACCACGGGTAAGTTTTCATCGTTCTTGTAGCCTTGACATTGACCCCTGGTAAGGTTTCGTCGTTGTCACAGTTCTGATATTGACCCCTGGTAGGGTTTCATCTTTCTCATAGTCCTGATATTTACCCCTGGTAAGGTTTCATCGTTCTCGTAGCCCTGACATTGACCCCTGGTAAGGTATCGTCGTTCTCACAGCTCTGATATTGACCATTAGTAAGTTTTTGTCGTTCTCAGCGCTCTGGTACTGACCATTGGTCATTTTTCATAGTCCTGATATTAATACCTGAAGTTTCACCCCAATATAGGACACATCTCACCAATAATTCCTATGCCGTCAGCCACGAGACAAGGACAAAAGCTATTTTAGTCTTTTTCCCCTTTCTCTTTTCACCATTATGCATGGCAATATTTGTTGACTTTTTGGTGTAGAATTTAAAAAAGGGTTTGAATATACATTTTCTACCAGGTTTTGGTGAATATTCATTATTTTGAGGCGGAAGGATTCAAGAGTTAAGAGGTTGGCCAGGTTGAAATGTAGGGCGGAAAATTGCATGTTTATTTATCTCTACTTCCAGTTTGTATATCTCAAGTTCATACACGTTTTCTACCCAACGAAAATTTTGGGAAAAGTTATAGCCGGTCTAAGAGACGAGAATTAACATTAAAGTCAATGGGGCCAAATGTATTTACCGAAAGTTGGATTTAATGATGTGTAATATTTATAAAATTATATTTAATTACCATGAGTAGAATTAATCCTCTAGTTCCAAGATCAGATTAATAAATGGATACAACATACATACAGTCTGGATCATCGTGGCTATAGATACAACATACATACAGTCTTATAGTCGATACAGTCTGGATTATTGTGGCTATAAATATTTACTATCAATCAGATATCTGGACGCAAAAAGTTCAATTTAGCAGTGGGAGGAAACCGGAGGACCTGGAGAAAACCCCATGAGGTTGGACAGGCGACTCTACTCCTTGACACTTACAATCGGGGAATAGAAACCACGCCAGTTGACTCAATGATAGACCTTGGGATACAGGTGTATTATTTAACACACCGTGGAGCTACCGTCATATGAAAGGATAACTTGCCAATATTATTTCATTGTTCATGGCTCAAACTGCAAATGTCAGTAGTTCAAAATACGTATTTTAGTTTTACAATTTACAATTCCCATTGCTCAACAATACCAATGTCACGGTGTTGAAATACAGAATACACTTTTCAATAATACAAAATACAGTAGAATAGTTATTTTGCACATTACACTTCTGCATTCTGCATTTTGAAGAATAGACAAATGCATAATAGAACCTTGCATAGTAGAACATATACCTTATATGGGATGTACGACGTACGTCATTTGCATACGGAAAAAAATCCGGACTATGACGGAAATTAATGATTTACGGGATAAAGCCATAAGGCCGAGGTCATTAGAAGGGGACAGTACTCGATTTTGTTAGTCTTCAACGTCCAGGCTCTATAATGTAATCAGTACGACGATTAGAGGATTCTGAAACATAATAGTCTGGTTTAACGAGACTATTCTTATTTGTTCCCATCGGTAAAAACCCCCAGATATTTCAAGTGAATCAATTTCTTGTTAAAAATTAAATTGAATATCTTATTAATTGACAGGTCTCTAAAACTCTTTTTTTGGGTAAGATTAAAGAATCTTATAGTAACCGAGCGGAATCTCTCACCCGTATTCCAACACCCGGATTCGAAATGAAGTTAGCACACATATTCCTAGCGCCAATAAAAACCTAGATATAATTAATTATCACGAAAATAATTGTTACCTTTATATTAGAAAATAACATTTTAAGACATATTAATGCAAAGTATATAATAATATGTAATAGACCCCCCCCCCCCCAAAAAAAAAAAAAATTGCTGAAATAAAGATCTTGGAGCCACCAAAGATAGTTTAGAAGTTATTGTGTGCGCAGTGAGCCTACCCAAACTCGATTCCCCACATAGTAACCGAGCGGAATCTCTCACCCGTATTCCAACCCCCGGATTCGAAATGAAGTTATATGGGATGTACGACGTACGTCATTTGTATACGGAAAAAAATCCGGACTATGACGGAAATTAATGATTTACGGGATAAAGCCATAAGGCCGAGGTCATTAGAAGGGGACAGTACTCGATTTTGTTAGTCTTCAACGTCCAGGCTCTATAATGTAATCAGTACGACGATTAGAGGATTCTGAAACATAATAGTCTGGTTTAACGAGACTATTCTTATTTGTTCCCATCGGTAAAAAACCCCAGATATTTCAAGTGAATCAATTTCTTGTTAAAAATTAAATTGAATATCTTATTAATTGACAGGTCTCTAAAACTCTTTTTTTGGGTAAGATTAAAGAATCTTATAGTAACCGAGCGGAATCTCTCACCCGTATTCCAACCCCCGGATTCGAAATGAAGTTAGCACACATATTCCTAGCGCCAATAAAAACCTAGATATAATTAATTATCACGAAAATAATTGTTACCTTCATATTAGAAAATAATATTTTAAGACATATTAATGCAAAGTATATAATAATATGTAATAGACACCCCCCCCCCCCAAAAAAAATAAAAAAAATTGCTGAAATAAAGATCTTGGAGCCACCAAAGCTAGTTTAGAAGTTATTGTGTGCGCAGTGAGCCTACCCAAACTCGATTCCCCACATATTTAGTATGTTTACGGTAATATATCTCCAAAAACCAGCATAGAAGGCTTCTGGATTTTTGTATTCTAGTAGTTTATTCATCCCTTGACTCTGTGAAATACAAAACATGTTGCCACCAAAGCTGGTTCGGGTGCTTTTTGATGAAACGTGGGTGTACCCCTTGTTTATTGTACCCACGAACCCCGCCTCGAATCCGGTGCTGGGAACTTTTCGGTGGTATTACTCGATACCCCAACATAGAAAGTTAATGAAATTTGGCATGTTCTCACCTTATGCATCTGTCGATTTGGTGAAATAAAGATCTTGGAGCCACCAAAGCTAGTTTAGAAGTCATTGCGTGCGCAGAGAGCCTACCCTAACCCGATTCCCCCACATATTTAGTACGTTTACGGTAATATATCTCTAAAAGCCAGCATAGGAGGCTTCTGGATTTTTCTATTCTAGTAGTTATTCATTCCTTGACTCTGTGAAATACCGGTTTGGAGTGCTTTTTGGTGCAGTGTGGACGTACCCCTTGTTTATTGCACCTGCGATATATTTTTTTTCATGGGGGGGGGGGGGGGTCTATTACATATATACTTTGCATTAATATGTCGTTTTCTAATATAAAGGTAACAATTATTTTCGTGATAATTATATCTAGGTTTTTATTGGCGCTAGGAATATGTGTGCTAACTTCATTTCGTATCCAGGTGACCTTCTGGCTTTATCGCGTAAATTATTAATTTCCGTCATAGTCCGGACTTTTTTCCGTATGCAAATGACGTTCGTCGTAGATTCCAGATAAGGTATATGTTCTACTATGCAAGGTTCTATTATGCATTTGTCTATTATGCAAAATGCAGAATGCAGAAGTGTAATGTGCAAAATAACTATTCTACTGTATTTTGTATTATTGAAAAGTGTATTCTGTATTTTAACACCGTGGCATTGGTATTGTTGAGCAATGGAAATTGCAAATTGTAAAACTAAAATACGTATTTTGAACTACTGACATTTGCAGTTTGCACCGTGAACAATGAAATAATATTGGCAACGTTTTTCTTCCATACCGTCATACTCATCAACACAGCGTGGAGCTACCGTCATACTCATCGACACACCGTGGAGCTCTGTCATACTCATCGACACACCGTGGAGCTCTGTCATACTCATCGACACACCGTGGAGCTATCGCTATACTCATCGAAACACCGTGGCTCTATGACTGAGAACTCCAATAATTAAAAAGTGTAAAAGGTCGAATGATGGCGATTATTTATTTTCAGGTTGCTATCGCACGCCCAGTGTTGAGTTTAAATTTCTTCAATAGATCCGACGGGCAATAGGCACAACCCGGGCATCGATGACCTTGGTACGTAATATAAGCATGTATATATTCAGATGAACTGCACGTTCCGGGAAATGCACACCTGGTAACCGGACACCTGTCTACCTGGAATACAAAATAAAACTTACCGGTTAACGAAATTGATATTAAGGAACCAAGTATCCAAATTTGGTTAAATATCCGCGGTTACGTGTGTGTTACGTGTGTGGTGATTAGTAATTTTAAACGGAAGTCACGGTGGCTCAGTGAGTAAGGCGTTGGTTCGCTAACCTGGAGGTCTCGTGCTCGATGTCTGCGTTGGCCGAGAAAAATCATCGGGAATTTCCGGCATGGTTCCCCCTTGCCAGCGGTGCAGGACAGGGCCTGACAAGTGACAACGTATAGTCGTTCGGATGAGACGAGAAACCGAGACCCCGTGTACACATTGGCGTGCACGTAAACTATTGCCACCCAAATTTACGTGAAATTATGCCATTGGTTGGGTTTGTGGAGGTCAAGAGAAACGGACTAGACTGGGATCCCACGCTTGAACTGGATACGGTGAAGTCCATTAAAAGCCTAATCTGTGTTGAGTCAACCACTCCCTTTCCCCGATTTGGGGAGAGGGAGGGCGTGATGTCTAAATGGGTAGCGCATGCGCGCTGTATCATAAGGTCTGCTATTGAGTAATCTGGCGTCGTTTCGATTCCCCGATTGTACGTGGCAAGAAGTAGGGTCGCCTGTCCAACCTCGTGGGTTTTCTCCGAGTCCTCCAGTTTCCTCCCACTGCTAAAGATCCCTACGCGCAATCGAATTATTGAAATATAAATATAATATGTTATTCCTGAAATGACCTAGTTTAGGTCGAGTGGACGTTAAACCTGATTTTTGTCCTCTCTTTCTTGATTTATTAACTAGAGTGTTTAACTACAATGTTTAACTAGAGTGTTTAACTACAATGTTTAACTAGAGTGTTTAACTAGAGTGTTTAACTACAATGTTTAACTAGAGTGTTTAACTAGAGTGTTTAACTACAATGTTTATTTTTTTAACTAGAATATGTATTTTTTTAAATACACTATTTATTTGATTCTACTATGAAAATAATACTTCTCATCTATCGATGTATAATGACGTAGATAACTTACCGTCAATTCTATTTCTCTCTTGCCATTGGCTATTTTACCACAACTTGGGCAGCCGGGGCATGTCTTACCGCGCCATTCAAAAAAACTACTTGGAGTCTGAATTTCACCTGGTGCACATTGTAAAATTGTACACGTGACATAAGGACATCTCTCCTGGTAAATTATAACATGTCGTTACCAAGCAACAAATATACGACCAACAATACAAACATTATGGCTCTATGACGATATATATAATGCCTTACGCCACTATAAGAGGGCTGGCTGAAAAGTTCTAAGTCTAAAAAGGGTAGATCAATTGCCACCACCTAGTACAGTCATTGAATGAATCATAGACAGTGTTATTATTGTCCTTGTTCCAGTCCTTCTTGTGAACCTACCAATTAAAATCACCAGAAATGGAGAAAACTTGCTATAGGGCAGTCATCAAGTACCTGCAACTGAAAGGATTGACCCCAACACAGATATATACCGTGGTATCCGCTTTAGGATATAATGCCGACGTGGTCTCCACTTAAGGGGATGATGCCCTTTCCTTCTCCACAGTAAAGAAGTGGGCTGTGGAATTTAAGCGTGACAAAGAGAGCCTTGACGATAACCCGCGTCCTGGAAGCCTTGACGATGACCCGCGCCCTGGAAGCCTTGACGATAACCCGCGTCCTGGAAGCCTTGACGATAACCCGCGTCCTGGAAGCCTTGACGATAACCCGCGTCCTGGAAGCCTTGACGATAACCCGCGTCCTGGAAGCCTTGACGATAACCCGCGTCCTGGAAGCCTTGACGATAACCCGCGTCCTGGAAAGCCATTTACAGTAACCCTTCAAGAAAACATTACACGGGTCCATGACATGGTGATGGCTGATCGACGAGTGGCCATTCGACATATTGCCAGTGTTGTGGGCATCTGTAATGAGAGGGTTGGGTATATTATCGCCAACGAGGTCGGAATGACGTAGGTTTCTGCAAGATGGATGCCAATGCGGATCAGAAACGTGTCAGATTCTTGACGCACCGTTTTGAAGCAGATCCTGATAATATTTTGACAGATTTGTAACCATGGATGAGACCCGTTTCCAAAATTCAAAAAGGAATTAGCCGGTCATCATTTTCCTAGTAATAAACGACTTTTTTGGGTACCCGAATAAAATTTCTTCCTGACTGGCATCAAGGGCTTGCAACATCACTGGCAAAGTGTGGACACCATCTACTTTATATAGGTCTTTCAGATATAGGCTTAGAACTTTTCGGCCAGCCCTCGTACATCATTTATCATAACGAAAAACGATCAGGTTAATAAGTCGAATTAATTTTTGACCTAATTAGACAATGCAGTTCGACCGAACAATTTGTGCTTATGCTACTAAATATCTAAATATTTAGTAAAGCAAATAATGTTCTTAGATTCGATAACCACTTACATCATTTCGAAGACTTTTGGCAATAGCAGCGCCATACACTGTACAAAAAAGAAAGAAAAACATATGTATGGAAACGGTGTTCATCTGATTAGGAACAGGATTAGTGCGTAAGAAATGAAATTTTACCAGTAGTGATTATTAAAGCTGTTAGAATATAAACACCGTTCATGATGGTCGTCCTCGTCTTTGTCCTCGTCTTCAAACAGTGTACTATATCTATATAAATCTATACTTCTTTCCTTATATTTATACGGTGAGATTAGAAACATGCATTATGGGATATTCACACGTACTACCATAGTCACTCGGTCAATATGGCGCTGGTTCAATAAATAGGTCTCGCCTCTTCAATTCCGTTCTCTAGCTTCTCTTTCTTTGTCTGTGAGGCACGAAATAGCGCCCAGTCCATCGGATAGTATATAAATTGACAGTACGTTAAAGATCCCCTTATGACGTAAAGAAGCTCACGTTAAACATCATATGGTCCCAGCCCCCCCCCCCCATTTTACACGTGACGACAGAACACTGACTCACTTAGATCCTTTTATCTATAGCAAAACCATAGACCGACCTAGTGATAGTCACGTATTTACACAAGTGTTTCTTGATAGTCTTCAAAACCACAGAAAACAATTGAAGAACTGGTTGTATATTGTTCGGGAATAGTAATGAAATATGTAGATGGTTTTAATCATAATAGTGTTATAATTGTTATAGTGTATCTTTGTATATATTTTATGATATAATTTTTGTTAAAGTAGTAATTGACAAATGTCCGAATTGATATCTCACTAATCTTTCAAGTCTTTTAACTGTTTGGGTTTATAATTAATGTGAAGATATACATTACGTAATTATAGTTAACACGCGTTCTTGCTATGTCGATATCTTCTGTATTTAAAGTAGCTAAATCTCTAACTCAATATCATCAAAAATCTTCGACATTGAAAACACGAATTATTTGTCAATTCAAATCAACATTTGTCTTGTGATCTTACAGGGAAAAAATGGGCTTCTGATATCCAATATTCAAGACAAAATAAACATTTTACCATTCGTGTAAATGCGTTTCGGCGTCATTTGGAATAAGGGACTCAAAGAACAGGGCTAGACATATTCCACAAGTCATGTCAAATGGTGACGCTATATTCTTATCTGGAGAGCGTGCGCAATGAATACCATCGGTGTAGACTGGAAAAACCAGACGCTAAAGATTGCCATTCACATGAGACTTCTGGCGTATTTCGCCGAACATAACTGATTAGAAATTACAGTAAAAATAGAAACGATTGAATGTAAATCAGTTTATATACATTCATATTACATTATTATATGCGTTGCGACCCATTTTTGTCAATTTCTAGGTGACAAATATTAGAGATTTAGCTCCTTTAAACATCTGTTTCGTATGTGCAATTTAACATTTTATCAAATATTATTATATAATTATTTTAATCCTAAGGTTGTATATATGTTCTATATTCTATTGTAATTTTAGTCTGGTGACCGACTCGCCCTAGTCATACCTATCTCGTTATTGTGACCGTTAACCAGTTATTTATTTATTCCAGGTTATTGTCGTTAGTGTTGGAATAAGCTACAAACCCCAGAAAACAGCACTTTGGCATAATGATGATACGCTGGTAGCAAAATTCCGGATTCACGTGCGCTCGGGGAGAAAATCGGAAACATATGATTCTTACTTTTTACGAAAAGTCTATTTGCGTACAACTTTAGGAAAATAATCCACCCAAATCGGCCTGGGCATAAAATGTTACAGGCGTTCTGGTTTTTGTACTTTTCGACACTTTTTCGGCGTGCACCACAAATGCTTTTCAGCTATTAGACCATCGACAAAAAGTAAATTCCAATGTTGGGAAATTCTAATCGTGAAGACGTCCATAATTGAACCACCCCCAAAAGCTAAGCTAGATCAGCGCATTTACTAACTGCACGAAATGTGTTGCAAAATGTTCAGCAAATTCACATGTATCAAGAATGACCATCGTGAGACATTTTCGGTGGTAAGGTATTTATTTACCCAATTATCCCAATAATAACTAAAAACTACCAAATACTACCTCATTATTGTGAAAAACTGCCATAATACTTCAATTATATTGGGTATTATTGGGTAAACTACCTGCCGTCCCATCCGGACGTTCCTAATTACCTAACCAAAGGATTATCGCACGAAACCTGTTGCAATTCGTTCAGCATAAGAATAACAATGGCCAGGATAGTGCGGTATCCCAGCCAGAAATCTAATTGCTCCACCCGAAAAGCTAATGTACATTACCACATGACTAACGTATAAAAATGTATCTGAAAACCATCAATGTATTCAAAAGAATCATAAATGGCCACTCCCAGGCATATTTAGTGACGAAGTACCCCTGCCACTCGGAACTGTACAAACTGTAAATCGGACCGTCGTTCCCAACAATAATTAACTCACCGTGCTCACTGTAACCCTTTATAGCGAGAACGAACGCATCTCTAATTGTTGACCTTAGTGGATCATGAAACATTGACAAACGAGGACGTATATACCAGTCTTTTTAGCTGCTCACTGACTCTTAAATACAGAACATTTGAGACATGTCACATGACACAATTATATAAATGACAGGTTACTAAGATGTTTATTTCTGGCGAAGTTTCAATGCGGATTCTCTCGTCGTTATTAAGGAATAAAAATCAACCAACTAAAACTCAAACCAAGCACCTGTTAAATTTCTCAGATATTATCAATCTTAGTCAACGGCCCTACTCACAGGTGATCTCAGCTCTCTATTATCACACAAACTAAAATCTGTATCCAAAACCAAACCTAAGAACTATGATGATTATATCGCCAGCACCAGAATCTGCAATATCATCTCGAAATACCCCAAAACAACCCAACAACCACACCAGACGAGAAAGACCTTAAGGAAGACAAGGCCATCACCACAGTACCAGCGGGCGAAGAGACGGGCACTGTCAACACTCACAAGGTCAATCAACCTACACACGGATAACGAAACACCCTATTTCTGATCATCACAACCCAAACACCCGAAACACGCCTGCCACCATCAAACCCCATTCAAAGCCAGGTTACATGTCTGCTCCCGGGACTCTGTCTACTACCCAACACGTCTTTCACCACCAAAACCCGCCCAAAGCCAGGTTGCATGTCTGCTCCCGGGACTCTGTCTACTACACAACACGTCTGCAACCATCAAAACCCGCCCAAAGCCAGGTAACATGTCTGCTCCCGAGACTCTGTCTACTACACAACACCTCTGCAACCATCAAAACCCACCCAAAGCCAGGTTACATGTCTGCTCCCGGGACTCTGTCTACTACACAACACGCCTGCAACCATCAAACCCGCCCAAAGCCAGGTTACATGTCTGCTCCCGAGACTCTGTCTATTCTCACTTGACTCCTAAGTGTTTTGTAATAACATCAACGTAATCCCGTCTCCTACGATGTTGTAAACTTGGTCAAGCGCCCCTCCCCTCCTTACTATTCCACCCAAACACATAGCATAATGACATTAAGTTCACCATCGGAACAGAAAGAGACAACAGTCTTCCCTTTCTAGATGTCATTGTCCGAAGAACCAACAAATCGCTCCAAAGTTCAGGAAACCAGCCCACAACAATCAGTATCACTATTACAAACCCAACCACCCGTATCAGACCAAGAAAACCACCATCACGACAATCGCTAACCATTTAACCTCAAACTGTTGATCAACACCACAAAAGTCTACAGCATACAATTCAATGGCCGTACATCCTACCAAACCAGACGAGTATGTTGGATCTTAAAAAAATCATGGTGTTGTGTATGTTTATGGTTACTTATAATTTGATGATGCATTTAGAGCGCGTAAAGTTGAGGATAACTTAAAAAGGGCGGCTTTATTTTGAGGTCGGATACCAAAACTAAATCGTCCATAAAAAAAACTGCACAAGGTAGATTGGGGTACTATGTACATACCTCCTTACAACAAAGCAATAATCATTTGTTTCGGATTTTTTTCCACGGGTTGAAGTGTCTCCTACCAGCTTATGACCGGTGTTTAAAAGCCTGTCGCGTTATATATTATACAATAGATCCAATTATGTCGTTTTACGTGTCATTTTATTATTTATTTTATCTTTTAACCTACTTCATAAATCAAACTGATTATTTTATATTTTTAAATGTTGTATATATATATTATGATAATCTTACCTATATATTAAACATACTTCCATACATCACCTAAATCTTAAACGGAAATAATTTTATTACTCTAATTATAAATCATAATCTTATCTTTTAACCTACCTCAACAATTCACTTTATCTCAAATTGGCCTGAATGCCTATAATCGTGTATATAAATATGAATATTAATCATATCTAAACGGTTTATATTTAAATAAGTTGTACAGGTTATACAGGCATAATCTTTTTAAAATGTTGGCTGTAATTTTTCTGATAGCATTGGCTGGTAAGTATGCTATTCTATTTTGTTTGTCTGGTTTCCAATGGTAACACTTGATTGCAAGTATATACTGTTCCATCAGTTGTTTTGTCGGTTTTCTGAAGCTAGTTTTGACCAGGTTTCATGATCGACCAAATAAATTTGCCGAATCGATTCGTTCTAGGGTTGACGCTTTTCTCGATTTTGTTAATTCCATTGTGTTTATGGGATTAGAAATTTACATTGGCGTGCACGTAAAAGATCACTTGGCAGTTGGAATTCGATATAAGAATAGCTCGTAGCGCCGCTGCCCGGGCAAATTTTCCCTCGTAACACATTGTATGACGTATTATTCTAGTCGAGGCAGAACAATAGGGGTTAAACCCCATTTACACCGTAGTGATATTATTATGTCTTTTTCCTGTACACGAGGCATTATTCGGATGTCTACCTGTCTGGATACAGACCACCAATATTCGGATATAGCTCACCCTCCATATTCCTGCTCATTTCTGGATTGGCTTCTGATACTTGAGCTTTTGAGTGAGTTTGTATATTCTTCCCGTTCAATCAAATCTATCCCAAGTACAGCAACATGACAACTTTTCGTTTAATCTGGAATCTTGCCTAAGACTTTGTACAGTGATTTAAGGTATTAAAAACGATGAAAGTATTGTTCGTCTCCAAACAGTATTGTTTACATTGTAACCGTTTTGATAGCCTCGTTCGTCACGCAATTAGTTTTTCTGCAATATTCTGCTATGCACTGGTTATTTGGGCATAATAAAATCTGAGTCATGACGTAACGTTATGTAAACATATTTGGTCCAGTGTGGAGCTATGTTTAAAGCGTAATCAAATTGTTACGCAGTTAGCTATTGGTTGTTAATCGAACTATTGACCAGTCATAATTTGGAACAGAAATTTGCTTCCATTAAAGTAGTGTTTAGTGGGATTAGGTATAATCAAACAAAGTGATAACACTGTATGATAGATGTTTATATTTACAGGTCATCTAGTTACAGGTCATCTAGTTACAAGTCATCTAGTTACAGGTCTTCTAGTTACAAGTAGTAACATTGTATGATAAATGTCTATATTTACAGGTCATCTAGTTACAAGTCATCTAGTTACAAGTGGTAACACTGTATGATATATTTTTATATTTACAGGTCATCTAGTTACAAGTGCCAACACTGAATGTATATATGATAGAACGGTACATCATGTCGGGGATGTGTGGACGACTGTAGAAGGGTGTAATACGTGTAGATGTACTGCTACTGGAATGATCTGTTCCTTCCAAGATTGTGACAAACAAAGATTTGGTGAGCTTACCTTCTTTAAGTCAAGTTCGCATGATCGCTTTATTTAGCTACCTGAAGATTTACACGTGGGCCAGGTTACATTTACACACGGCACTTGTTTTAAAGGCTCTCTATTTCAGATTTAACTGTAAATAACAAAAAAAAACATATTGGTCGAGATTAGGATGAATGAAACATTCATGTCCCAGCAATCACCATTTAGGATCATCTCTGTATGAAATGAACCTAGAATATATCTGATAATCTTAATCTTTATATCCAGAAATTGTCCAATATATCAAAATAATTGAAGGATGTTAACTGGTTTAATTAAATGAAACTGTAAACAGAGTGTGACGTCATTTCGCTGATATTCATGTTAACTTCCTGGTCTGTCCATCTTAGAACATGAATATTCATCAAAATCTGACAGAACATGAATATTCATCAAAATCTGACAGAAAATGTAGCTCTTCATCGATTCACGACTAAATATTGCCATGTAAAAGGATGGTGGTATTGGGGGTAGGGGTCTGAAAAAAAGCGTAACGACAATTCCTACGCACTATTTGTGGGGTAGTTAAGGTAGGGTACTAGCCTAGCTACAAATGTCGTACGCAAGTACAAATAGGTTCAAACGCACAATTGTCAACACATATCATTACAGTTTGTATTGAAATAAGTAATTCTATCACAAATAATAGTGAAGACTGAACCACTAAAATAGTTACTGAACAGTTTTTCTTTGTGGTAATTATGCGTTCTACATTTCTTTTAATGTAAGCCGCCATGACACCAGCCAGATGAAATCTGGCCAAATTTCGCGTAACAGTTGTGTTTCATCAAATCATATAATTATGCGGTAAGACTTCACCTTTATTTCAATGGAAATTGGTTTATTATATATTAAGCTATGTGCAGTACAGTTTGGAGTCAGTTTATGTGTAAATAAAAGGGGCTATAGGTTAGTAAACTTTTTGTAGTCATTTAACTAAAAAAACTTGCGCAAAGGAACTCCGTAGAACGAGCCACTACTGTGGCTGGATTAAGGCGGAAGACATCAGTAGTGGAACCATTTCTAGGTACTAGCCATGCTTCTCTCTAGGCAGATACTGGGTTTATTCCACTCAAAGAAAGATGAAATCGACACAAAAGAAAATTACTATACAAAATTTTAATAATCTAATTCCTCCTTATCTTGAGAATCTCATAAATCTTGAACCAACAAATATATTATTCCCCTCGATACGAAGATAAAGTAAAGAAATTCGATGTGGTACTGAATTTTTTTCCTAAATCATTTATCGCATACGAGAGTGGCGCAAACTCAATACATCAGATAGAAACTCAATAACTCTTAAAATATTCTCTGATCATCTCTTCAAATCAGATATAAAAATTCCACCTTTTTACTATAACGGTCAACGGAAACTCCAAATGATCCATAGCAGACTTAGACTACGATGCTCTGACCTGCAGGGTCATAAATACCTCAGACATGTTGCTGACAGTCCCGCATGCCTTTGCGGTCATATATTTGAAGATCCCGATCACTACCTCCTACTCTTTATATTTAAATGCACGAAAGGAAACCATAGACAATATGATCTCAAAAACATTAACTGTCTTCTGTTCGGGTCCTCAACCCACTGTACAGATGTAAACAACAATATTTTTAACCAAGTCCACAAGTTTATTGATATGTCAAATATATTTTAATCTCTATCATTTAATATTTTTATCGTCAATATTATGTTTAACTTTGCGTATGTATGATGTATATATATATATCTGTGTTTGACATTTTAACTGTGTATATACCCCCATTGGTTGTTTTATATTAATATCATATATATCTAGGGAGATGGGTTTTACATAGACTAAGCCTGTTCCCCAATCCCATTCAGACATTCTGAATAAAATATTGTGGGGTTCTTTTTAAAATATAGTTATCTCCCTTATATTGAGTGGACCCTTTTACGTTCCATGGCCGTAAGACTTTTAAAGATATTCAAGTGGGACTGTTGCAGATTTTAATACTATTTGATTTACAGTCAACTACAGTGAGATATTTATAAACAGTTGATATGATGGAATTGGTTACTTATTTGTATAATTACAGTTCAAGGGATTAATATGGATTGTACATGTATTGTTGATGTAACACTAACTAACGCTACCACAATTCAAGTACGATCAGCATGGAACTTGACATGCTTGTTGTTTGGACAACTGGGCTTTGATTTTCGGACTGACTTCGAATTTTAATATGACGTCACAATTTCAAGATGATTGTTTAAGAACACTATAAAGATTGTCTTCCGCCATCAAAATGTCTGGTGTATTTGTATTTCAGCTGAGGGCCACGGTGGCTAAGTGGTAAGACGCTGGCTCGCTAGCCTGGTGGTCGGGTGTTCGATCCCTGCATTGACAGAGAAAGTTCATCCAGATTTTCTGGCGTGGTTCCCTCTTGTTTATGATGCAGGGCAGAGGGCCTGACAAGGACAGCTGTCTAGTCGTTCGGATGTGACGAAAACCCGGGGTCCCGTATACACATTGACGTGCACGTAAAAGATCCCTTGACAATTGGAATTCGATATAAGAGTACGCCGTAGTACCGCTGTCCGCGCAAAATTTCAGTCTTCATTAGCCCATCGAGCAGAACAGTAGGACGTTAAACCCCATTTGATTTTTTGTATTTCAGCAAAACCAAATTCTGGTGGAGCTGATTGTAATTCAGAAGGTGATTGGTATAAACATCGTGATTTCTGGTTGATTAAAGATGGCTGTAATACCTGTTATTGTTTGATGCCAGGTAACTTCCGGGGATATCAAGTCTGTACAACCACAGATTGTTCATTCATTAATCACCATATTGGATAGATTCATAAAAACAAAGAACAAGATCGCTTTAATTTGAGTGAAAAATAAAAGTCCTCATTTATTTTGTTATCGTCTTTCTCTGTTAAATGTAATTAATTTCTAGATAATTTGTGTTTTGCGCATTCAATAGTCCATGTCAAATAGGCAGGGTGCGCATTGATAGTATGAGTCAAATAGGCAGGGTGCGCATTGATAGTATGAGTCAAATAGACAGGGTGTTGCGCATTTGATAGTATGAGCTAAAAAGGCCGTGTGTAGTATAGTGCCAACTGTCTAACAAGAACACAGATTGAACGAGGTTTATTGTCTCGTCAAACACAGCAGCGTTTACCTGCAGTATGCTAATTGTACGCTGGGGGATTCAGTTTGATGGTCCTATCTGAATGACTAAGCACACTTTCCGTTTTCGCCTTGCGGGCGCCACACTGACAAGTTTGAACCGGGATCGAAAAATCACGACCATTGTTCTTGACCCACGTCTCGATTCCAACCCAACATATTCTTGTCGAGATACCGCGACCCCATGTAGCGAGACAAACCGCTGTTGTCCTGCTGCTCGAGTATCGCGAACCCACGTGTGACGTGAGAGAGAGCGGGAGAGAAATGGGGTTTAACGTCCACTCGACACAAACTAGGTCATTTCGGGACTAACATATGGTTCAATTTTATTTCCATAATTTGCTTGCGCGTAGGGGTCTTTAGCAGTGGGAGGAAACCGGAGAACCCGGAGAAAACCCACGAGGTTGGACAGGCGACTCCTTGTCACGTACAACCGGGGAATCGAAACCACGCCAGCTGACTCAATGACAGACTTTATGATACAGTGCGCACGTGCTAACCATTCAGCCATCCAAGCCCCCCCCCCCCCCACGTGCGTGTGACGTAGCGAGACAAACCGCTGTTGCCCCGGGAAGAAATATTATCAGGTTATTGGGTGTGGCTGATACAGGTCTGGATACAGTAGACTACTAATAATACGAACATGGACATATTGATTTATATTAAAATATAAACAGGAATTTATGTTTTATAACAATCTAATTAAATAAAGACTCTTTAATCTCACCAAAATCTCTAGTTGTAAATGTAACCATGGTAACTAGATGAATTACATCAAGATACATTAATAGATTCCTATATTAGATTAAAGTTTTGAAATCAGATTATTCTCTTAAAAACAGTGACCTTGATATAACCATCATAACACAGATAAATAAGGACATATTCAAGGTTTTTATTTCTGGGTCCAAATCTTATATAAATTATTATCTAGACATTTAATCACATGACAAGCCTATGTTTATACCAGACTAAAGTTAAGAAACATATACAAGCTAGGGATTAAAATAATTATATAATAATATTTGATAAGGACGAGACAGAAGATGATATAAACATGGCAGGAACACCGGTTAACTATAATTACATAATATTAAGTATAAACTCAAACAGTTAAAAGACTTGAAAGATATATATTTAGACATTGGTCAAATTGAATGTTAATTAATATGTCTACAACGTTACAACTTGTACTAGTAAGTAAGTGAAGACTAACTACACAGCCTTGTCTCTGGTGCAGGACAGTAGACCTAGCAAGGGATCTGTGTCTTCGAATAGGATAAAAGAATACTAAAGTCCTGTGTATATGTTGGCATACAGTATTGAGAAGAAATACTGCTATAAAATAACCATGCTGATATATAATATAGACTGATCTGTACACAGTAAATGAGTAGGTTAAACGCGAGATGTCGCCGTTGCAGATTATGTTGGGTTTTTTTTTTTATCTAATATTCCTGCAGAACCCAATTTAATGTATACATCATTTCCCCTTCAATTATGAAAGTGAGGTGCTGTCTGTAACATCACCAACCCCTATCATGTACCTGCTATCATAGCTCCTCTCGCTGTCTGTAACACGACCAACCTGCTATCATACCCCCTCTCGCTGTCTGTAACACCATCAACCTCTATCATAGCTCCTCTCGCTGTCTGTAACACCACCATCCTGCTATCATAGCTCCTCTCGCCGTCTGTAACACCACCAACCTGCTATCATACCTCCTCTCGCTGTCTGTAAAACCACCAACCTCTATCATAGCGCCTCTCGCTGTCTGTAACACCACCAACCTGCTATCATAGTAGCTCTCGCTGTCTGTAACACCACCAACCTGCTATCATAGCTCCTCTCGCTGTCTGTAACACCACCATCCTGCTATCATAGCTCCTCTCGCCGTCTGTAACACCACCACCCTGCTATCAGACCTCCTCTCGCTGTCTGTAAAACCACCAACCTCTATCATAGCGCCTCTCGCTGTCTGTAACACCACCAACCTGCTATCATAGTAGCTCTCGCTGTCTGTAACACCACCAACCTGCTATCATAGCTCCTCTCGCTGTCTGTAACACCACCAACCTGCTATCATACCTCCTCTCGCTGTCTGTTACACGACCAACCTGCTATCATAGCCCCTCTCGCTGTCTGTAACACCACCAACCTGCTATCATAGCTTCTCACGCTGTCTGTGACACCACCAACCTACTATCATGTACCTGCTATCACAGCTCCTCTGAATACTGGATCGAAAACTATTTTAGGAACTTATGCTGCTTTGTTTGTTTACAATCAGTGATAGTTCCTCTTATAATATAACGTCAAGGTTGGCATATTATTATTATTTTTTTTTTTGAAGAAGAAGAAGAAGAAAAAACGGCCGGGAGGGGGGTTTAATTGCCCCATCGACACAATATTTCACTGATTTTGAGACAAACTTGCCTGGACAGCGACGTGTGTCGTGTACTCGTCCTTGTCAGCCCCTCGGATTCCTGGCCGGGTAGGAAATCTTCCGAATGTTCTTCTCGGTACACGTTGTGATTCGAACCCGAAACATTCCAATTGCACTTCAGATTAAACATGGTGGAAACTGTTTCATTAAAAGATAATGTATTTTTTAAAAAAAATAATAATGAACGACAACGACTGGTTTCTTCTTATTAGTTATATGACAATAATTATACATGACGATGGTTGTGGGTTGTTGTTTACTCAATGTATATTTACCATCAGTAGACAGTTGATATTAGAATGGTATTTAGACAGAGGGAAAACATTATTACACATGGTGTTATATAGAGTGACAGGAAATAGATGTACATGTTCTTATAACCACACCCTTCTATATATATATCAAATATCTAACTGAAATAAATGACTTAACGGTGTATTTTGCTACCACCGTTTTGATTATATCGTTAGCGGTTTCAATCATAGACATACTAATAATGTATTATTAAGTATATCTATGGTTTCAACGTTTTAATTATAACTTCATCGAATTCGACGTTTTTGATTATAACGTCATCGATTTCAGCAGTTTTGATTATAACGTTATCGATTTCAACGTTTTAATTATAACGTCATCGATTTCAGCATTTAGATTATAACGTCATCGATTTCGGCACATTTTGATTATAACGTCGTCGGTTTCAACATTTTGATTATAACGTCAACGATTTCATACTTTTGACTTTTACATAAAGTCTTTAACTGTTTAAAAATTAAGTCATGTTTTAACGTGTTCAAGTTAAACCTACAAAATTTCATGGTAATATCATTTCATCATTTCAATAAATCTCCATTCAGTCACCTGGTTATCCCGGTGAATACAGTAGTAAGTAATATTGTTGATAAAATGTAATTTATACAAAGATTAATGTACTCATGATGTATGGAATCTGTCAGTGGGTTCAACCCAGGAATAACAATAGCCAGTTAGATTACTGATGTATCACATTTCATAGAGGAACTGACAGATACATGCCCCGAATAACTAGACTATAGTCATGATTATCATGCCTTGAATAACTGACCTGTAGGAATGTCAATGTTTACATGGTTGGCTTCGTATGAAGTAAAATATACTTACTGATCAAAACGTTTGACAGTACTAAATTTGTTTCTTTTTACATTTTTTCCTTCCAAAATTCAGCTCAAAAACTGAATTTTGTCTGAAATTATGATGCTTCTGACGACAAAAAAAAGCTGCACTAATAAAACCCGAACGTTCTTTAAATCAAATAACCGGCAACCAATAAATTTTCAATAAATACAATAGCGAGATGAGAGACAGGACTTCCTGGTCGTTCCTTTTAAACTGCAATATAAAAATACCGCTCTACCTACTTCTCTTCTAAGGCTTTTTGTCCTCCTAATTCTTGTTTGTTCATCAAAGTGTTTCATTTCTCGCTACATCTAACACAAATTATACATGTACTAACCCAACACCATTGTCAAGTAGAAAACGACTTAAGTGGTGAATATTTTGAAACAATGTGTTATAGATATATTAATCAATGGCTCGCAGCGTTAAAAATACGGTCTCTCATATATATATATTTTTAAAGGATTCCGTTACGACACAGTATCCAGAGATGAAAGTTAGTGTCTTATAGTCCAATAAATATATCTATAATATAGGTAGGTCCAGTGAGCGTATTAATACATGTCTGTTTTAAATAATACTATACAGACCAGGTGATCTGTAATAACTCTTGTATTATTTCAATATGGTGATATGTAGACAGTAAATATGAGTTCCGGTCGACGGTATGTCAATCATTTATACATGATATATGATATTTCCAATACACCTTGTAAATCCGGCCAGTTTTCACAACAAAAGGGTGGAGAACATATCAGAAAACTAGTCTACTGTGTGAAATAAGACTAACCGTTTACTTTTATTCCAAATGTCAAGCCAGGGGTCAATCCATTATCTGTTAAATAGAAGATGTCCCTTTTCGGGTGAATTGATGATCTAGAGGGGACGCAGTCCAACACAGTTTTAGGACCGCTCATTTCCTGTCCTAAATTGCCTGGACCGGCCCTAGTACCAATATCCACAAAATGTCCCTAATTAGTTTTTGTTTTAAGGAGTGTGTAACTAGGCAACCAGCAATTGAAAATAGATGAGAGAGAGAGAGATGGGGTTTAACGTCCACTTGACACAAACTAGGTCATTTCGGGACTAACATATGGTTCAGTTTTAT